GCAGTTTACTACCATACCAATATATGTTTCCCTTTGTTGCAGGATGATGCAGAAAGGATTATCCCATTTCTCGGTACTTGGAAAGGTCGTTCAGTAACAAAACGAAGTGGTGTCTATGGAGCAACACTATCCGAATCCGATACTGTGGCTGTTCTTGAAATAAATGACAAAGGCCAAGTAGTCCAGGTATTGAATATTGTTCTCCACTTGAGCATTTATTTATATGAGAATGCCTCTGAACTTGATGTGAATCAGGATATTTCCTCGACATCGGATGAGAAAAAAGTAACAACTAATGTACACTGGGAGGGTAAACAGTCTAAAAACTTGGTTACATTCGCGGAAGGATACCAAATGACTCTGTTACCAGGAGGTATGTACATGGGATGTCCGTGTGACGTAGGAAAGTGTGTTGCGGACCTAAAGTCGTTTCACTTAGAATTCTGCTGGCTTGAATCGCCAAGCTCAAGACAGAGACTCGTCCGCACATATGACCATGAGGGATTGGCCGTCTCATCAACTTATTTTTCTGAGACGAAAATGTGAGAGCCACACTATGATAATCTTATGTTCTTGAACTATTGTTCATCTATGTAATGTTGCAAATATACTTTTGATCTCACATCATTTGACTTGAAATTTAGTTAATCATATAGCTAGATTGTTGAGAAGTTGGGTTTTGCTAAGACATCTAAACAAATTAGGACAAGCTTACTAATTCCACATTAATCAACATCACAACTAATTTTGATCCTTGTTCAAAAACGCGGACTAGGCGGCTGATTAGTCGCCGGCGAGGCGCTCGGCGGTGGTGGACCGTTGCGATTTGTCCAAATCGGCCAACAAATCGGAGTTTCAGAAAAAAATTCATATTTTGCTTTGATTTAAGTTAGAAATCGATAGTTAACTAATAGATCTATTATAATTTGGTATAAACCTAAAAGAAAAACATGAAAACGATGGAATTGTGAAAAAAAAAACAAAAAAACGCAGAAACTAGGGTTTTGTTGTCGCAGGGAGAAAGGAAGGGGACGGGGGCAATTTTGTAAATTTGCGATTCTTAAAAAAAAAAAGAGATAAATATCAAAATTGAACATCGAACCCTCGTTCCCAAGGTCAAAGGAAGGAGACAGACCACTGTACCACGTTATAATCATTGTACACTTACGTTTTTTTAATATATATACATAAATCTAAATTAAAAGTATCTAAAGTTAATCCCCGAGTAATCCCGTTTAATCCCCGAGTAATCCCGCTAGGCGCTAGGCCCACCCCAGCCGCCCGACTAGCGCCTAGCGTTTATTAGAACTTGATTTGCATACACAACATTTAAGGTTACAAGTTGGACTCGTGGGTTTCATTCAACAACTATTTAAGACCCAACTAGTCAACAACTACTTAGATGTCAAAATTCTTGAGATGGCTTGATTATGTAATATTCTGCTGATTAATTACATCCTAATGATCAATAATCACCGATAATATGATTCTTTCGAGTTTAAATTGTTAGTAATCTTGTTCTACATGAATATATATCTTCACTGCATATCCATTACAATAACCGTAGAATTTCAATCAATCGTTTTCAGATTGATGACCTTTGATTGATATCAGAACCACAAATAACCGATTTAACCAGAGATAACCGGAAATAACCAAATCAGTCATAATTTCGCTTATTTTGTAAGCTTTCTTGGCACAACAATACGAACAACGGCGACCGGAAAAACAAAATTGACCAAAGAATGATGATCGTAGATAATCTAATTTAATCTAACCTAATCTTATCATAAACTTCAAAAGACTCGTAAAAACATGTACAGAGACAAAAAATAATCTACAAGATTTAAAGAATCCAAAATCAAAAATGAAGATCGAAAAACAAAAAAATGTAGGGCAAAAACCTCTCTGCTTTGACAGCCCAAAGCTTCAAGGAAACAGCAAAGCAGAGAAAGGCCCTAATTCTCTGATATGCGCCTACGCACCCCTTAGGGTACGCCACAAATAATCCCTTCTCGTGGTATACCACGCCACCCCTCACTAAAGAGGGAAGCGCTCGGCCTCAGGCACTACTTTGCTTCTTCGTCTTCTAGGGTTCTTACTTTTATATACTTCACCATCTTTCTCTTATTTCTGAATCAACCCCTTTATTTTTCTATTTTTACATTTTGACCCCATTATGTGTTTCTTCTTTCATTGTTACACCTCTATATAAACTATAATCTCAACACTAATTGGCTTATTCTTCTAGGGTTTCTTACTTTTATGGACACCCTCTTTTTTTGCTCATTCTTTCTATTTTTACATTTTGACCCCATTATGTGTTTCTTCTTTCAATGTTACATTTTGACCCATGTACTTATTTCTTCTATCAATATTCACCCCTTTACACTGTTATTTCAACCCCAGGTCCCCAAATACTAAAAGTTGGGAAGAAACATAAAAAACAAAAAAAAACAAAAAAAGATGGAATATGCCAATCGGGATGTTCAATCCGGACTGTCCCGGCCCAAACAAAATAAGAGTCTTTGTGCAAAAAATGTTTCGGCGATTTTTTTTTTTTAACACTAAAATGATTTTATTGATAGCATAACAATACATCGTTTGGATACACAAGATTGGAGACACAGATCCTTTCATACAATAAAGACAGACTAGATGGATACAATCGATTTTCGCAAATATGGGAAGCTGTTGCTTCGATGATGGAGTGGGTTAACCTTGCTTTCTGAACGTAAGCCTTACGGGCAATCAGACTATGTCTGATAGGTCCCCCCTTCATGTACTTCATATTGATGGCTAACAGCATATAGCTGAGACTCCAAAATGCTTTTAGCATTACCTTTAGTTGTTGACATAATTTTGATGTCATTGTAAGAACATCTGCCTCTCGTTGATACAGGAAAAAAAATCTGCTTGATGTATTGTGCCTTTTCCTTACCCCCTCCTGCAAATGTGGTATCATCCCCATTGCCATTTCGAACTCCATTTCAGCCCAATAATTCCATGGTGGTTTCCGTGCTGGTCGACATTTACAGATCAAATCCGAAGGGATTTGTGATAATCTTCGGAACGCCCACAATAGATTTATTATTACAAAATATATCTTTATTATTTTAAATAATGTTTTGGAATTTGACTATTAAAAACAGATACTCCCTCCGTTTTAGTTTAGTTGTCGTTTTAGGATTTAAATTTTGTTTCATAATAGTTGTCGTTTTAGGTTTTCAATGCAAATGTTTGGTAAAAATTTCAGTTTTATCCCTACAGTTTTAATGTTTTGGCCAATGAAATTTTTTATAAAATATATTAATAAAGAGTAAAACAAAAAATTTAATGCTTTCTTAATTTGTGTGAAAAAACCTTAAACGACAACTAAAACGAAACGGAGGGAGTATGTATTTTTTAAATTTTGGGCTTTCAGATTTTTTAAAATTTAAATTGGGCTTTGTAAATCTAATTTTTGGGTTATATCTAACTTTTTGAAATAAATATTAGCAATTTTTTTTTTTTGATAAACCCTATCGGCTATCCGGTGGGTCCCGGTAGGAACGCACCGAGGTGCTACATAGTGGACTGATCCACCGTGTTAACGGTTAGGCCCTTACGGGCTACCACTCTGCCTATCCCGAGTTTGGAATGCCTTTTGACTAAGTGCCAGGGGGTAGTCAGGCCGTCTGCATTTCTGGCTACCAGGTAAACCAATTGGGTCAAGGTCCAACTGACAGACTTCCCAAACAAATGTGTTTTTGTTTCCAGGGAGAATCGAACTCAGGTTTGGGAGTTTTACCCTTTCTCAAAGCTTCCTCTGCCACTAGACCACGGATGCTTGGGCTATTAGCAATTTTTTGTGTATCTATACTAATATTTTCGCAACATTTTGGTGACGGGTAGGTAAAAATGCTTCTCGGTTAATCGGATATCCGACCCGTTTCAAAAATTCTTCACAAAAAAATTTGTTGGATCGGGTTATATTTAACCCAACTCATACACCGGATATTCCAGATTTAATAATTTAGATATTTAGAAGATTTGATTAAGATTTATAATTATGATTTTCCTATCATCTTTGTTTGATTTGTTTTTAACTATTTTGAATCATCATATAATACATAAAGTAAAAAAAAATCAATTTTTTTCTGCATATACTGTGATTCAAAATTTAAAAAACGAACATATATTATCCAATTGACGAAAATATATGTTCAACGTTCTACATCGATTAAAATATTTAGACAATGATTCAGAATCATATCATAAGTAAGAACATTAGTAAAATAAATGAGTTTTTTGGCCAGACGGGTTTGGCGGGACGGGTTTTTGAATCAACAATAATAAAAAGATTAAAATATCATTAATCCGCCGCTTCAATACGGACTAAATCCCTTTTTTTTGTAATACCACAAATATTAGACATATTAAATCAGTCTCATTTAGAAAAGATTGTATAAAACCAAAAATTGTCCCGTGGTATAATGTTACTTAATAACAATATTTATAAAATTTTAAAATATCATTAACATGCCGCCTTAATACATATTAAATTTTTTAGTTTATTTAAATATAAATGTCTTAGAGAATGATATGATTTGTAAACTTTTATATATAATAAATAATCATCAAATTTTAAAATAAAAACAAATCACGGGAGAGGTTAAGAAATTATGGAACAGATTATATTTCGGAAAGGATTTATATGGCGGACGAATTTGAATCAATATTTATTTACCGCTTTAATACAAGTTAAATCTCCAGTTTATTAATAATTGTCTCGTGGACTCGTGGTATACCGTTACTTAATAACAATTGTAAACTATAATATAAATAAATATGTTATAAGGAGATACAATTTACAAAATATTTTTATACTAACTTTAAAATTAAATCATCCCGCAGTGTACCGTGGGTTAAAATCTAATATTTAAAAAAAAAACTAACACAAAGACAAACTAACTAATACGACAACAAGATATCTATACTATTAATTAGGAAGCATTCCCTGAAAAATAACCTTAAAAAGTGTAAAAAATTACAAGGGAATGCCATTAGGATAATTACATTCAAAAAGTAATCAAAAAAATTACGTGGAAGGGTAAAATGGCAACTTTGCTGTCAATTGACACGCGGATCCTGGGTTACGGGTCGGATCTAAACCCATAGTAATTCGGTAAAACACGCGGATCTTCGTAAGTTATGGGCTTTAGGATCCGTTCAACCCGTATCTGATCCAAATGATATTCGCGGATTTTTATCAATCAATGCTTGGAATGTTTTGCGATATATCCTGAAGTTAATGCCAAAACCATATTTGTTAGTTATCATTAAAACCTATTTCTATAACAAACAAATCTCACCAAAAACGATATAAATTATTTTTTTTACCATCTCTAACAATAACTATATATTGAGATACTAACAAATCGACCACATAATACCTTAAATCATGGCAACAAACCTAACTAATCAATTATTTACCTTAAATATTGGTAGAAACAATATTCGTAAAGATATTATTCTGATCTAATTCTATACACCCTAACACATTCGAGCTGCCCTCTTTCCTATAAATATAGATGCCTAATGCCATTGTAGATACACATTTATCTTTCACCACGAAAATTTAGCTGTTTCTACTCCTTAGAACTATGCATTTGAACAGAGATTTTGAGTTAGAGGTAGCAATTATTATTGCATCTTTCTTAATAGTTTTTATTTTATCAAATTATGTTTTACTATAACACCACGTCTTTGTTCTTTGGTGTTTATAGATCCAAGCTGGTTTTAAGGAGAACTTTTTCAATAATGGTGTTACTCAAATCAATTTGGTGATTTGAGTAGAAGAAATGCTATTTCTAAAGGTTTTAGAGATTCTATATTTTGAACTAAGTGCTATGTTATTGTTTTCTTTTTTTGAGAATCTGAATCCTTATATTTTGAGCAACTTAACTTTGTTAAGACAAGTTAATGGTTTTCTTAAGCTATATGAAGTAAACCATTTCACTTATAGAAGTAGTAAAAGTGATTATTTCATACAATTCCATAAATTTTAGTACTTTGCATCTCTTATTTACTACTTTGTTTGAAAAATATTATGGGTTAACATTGTTATTTATATGAACTAACATCAAGTACACTCAATCACATAAGGTAAATATGAAGATGTATTAACTAAGTCTATAAAACTCAATAGATCTACCTTTTGACATATAGTTTTGAGGCTTTGCTCTAATGAATATAGACTCCTCCATATTCTGTTGTTACCCAATTGAAGCTTTATTTGAAAACATTAATTTACCTTTGAAGTTAAATTCTGCAAACATCTAAATTTTGTTAAGTTAAAGTTATATTTTTACTAAACCTATATGAAGTTTTTTTTTTTTTTTTTTTTAAGACAAACCTATATGAAGTTAACAATTTCGTTTGCAGAAGCATACCAACATTTTTATAAATTTCCATATCTTATTAAGTACTTTGATTGAAACATACTACGGGAAAACACAATTTTCTATATGAACTAACATCAAATACACTCAATAACAGAAAGTAATTATGAAATTCTAATAACAAAAGTCTATAAAAGATAATCTCACTAACCTTTCACATATAGATTTGAGGCATTGCTCCAATGAACAAATTTGATAGCCTCCATATTCTTATGTTGCTCCAAGTGAAGCTTTACCTGAAAACATTATTTAGTTTAATACAAGATTCTGCAGATTTGATATAAGCTATTGTTTCGTATAAATCTTATCAGTTTGTAGCCTTTGTTTATCTTCCTCTAATGTGAACATCATTAAACAAAATTGTAAATTGAGATCTATATGGAAACTAAATTAACTCTAACTCTTTCCAAAAAATACAATATATTGATACGATTAGCAAGGCGTACAAAAAATAGCTCGGTGCACTGGTAATTAAAGTTTCTTTTTCTACTCTATCAAACCAGTTAAAACTAGATCTTATCAAATTCGTATTCTCCGATAAATTATAGTGAAAACATAATGATGAAAATTCAATTGACAATAATTACCCATAGAAAATCCGGCTTCCTGATGTTGCTTCGCCAAGAACACTACGCAAACAAAAAATTACTCAGATTTGGATTTCAATCGCCATATAAAAATGGTTTATAGTATAAATCAGATTCACTAATATTCTAATAAGCTTACCTCTTCAAAGAATTCACAATTTACAAAACGGAGAAGAAATAGAGAATTACATGAGATTTCGTAAATTAGACTTAGATCGATCGAGTATGAAAATTTTGATCGGTGGGTGTTTTTTTTTTTTTGATGAGACAACGACTGTTCTGACTTCTGAAATGAAAAACTGTCCAAATTGTTTTTTTTTTTTTTAATGTTCAGTCGGTTTATGGAAACTGAAACATTAAATGGGTTAAGGAGAAATGTATTATTAACATCATACTCGACCCAATACAAAATAACTCTCCAACACTAATGGGCCAGAGATTAACAGTTTTTTTGTAAAATCATATTTTCATTACAATATATTAAATTATAAAGATTTCTATTTAAATTACCAATTATATAATTTACAAGGTACTAAATTTCATAATCTTTAAAATTTTAATATTTGAATTATATTCCACAACACACTAATTTATAAACACAAACAAAAATTTATCAAATATTATGAATTATGATATATATTCTATTATATATTTCACTAACACAAAAAAAATATGGGAGACTCACAAAAATGCCCCTTTTTCAATACCCTTTTTAAAAAATGCCCCCTTTGGCTGTCTATTTTTAAAAATACCCCTTTTTATGTACAAAATGACTAAATTACCCTTCTTTTAATAAAAAATATCACAAATATATAAGGAAATATAACAAAATTAGGTCTACAAAATACAAAATATTTTTTGGCGGGAAAAGTGATCCCGCAATTTTCCCGCCAAAACACTTGTAAAAACTTGTAAAACCTTTAAAATACCTTGTAAAATTTTCCCGTAAAAAATTTTCACGCCAAAAATTTTTTTTGCGGGAAAAGTGATTCCGCAATTTTTTTGGCGTTAAATTTTTGGCGGGACAAATTTACAAGGTATTTTAAAGGTTTTTTACAAGGTATTTATAAAGTTTTACAATGTATTTTAAAAGGTTTTACAACATATTTATAAGGTATTTATAAGATATTATCAGATTTTACAAGCTATTTTATAAGGTTTTACAAGTTATAAGGTTTTACAAGTTTTTTATAAGGTTTTACAAGTTATCATATCTTATAAACCTTATAAGTACTTTGT